GATCCCTCCCCCGCTGGGGGGAGGGGGAGGGGCCCGGGGAGGGTCCGGGGGGGGGTCAGAAACGACGCCCCCCCCCATGGGAGTCCTGGAGCCCCAAAAAGCCCCAAGACCCACCAAGAGTGCCCCAAGAGGCCCCAAAGACAGTCCAAGAGAACCCCGAATCGCCGAACGATCTGTCCAAGACGCCTTGACGGCCTCCAGACGGCCCAAGAGGCCTGCAAAGCGCCACAAGAGGCCTCCAGGAGCTGTCCCACGAGAGCTCCAAGAGGCAAAATCCATGGATGTCCCATACGTTTTTGACAGATTTCGGCGTTCTTGCCTCCTCCACTTCCCGACACGCCAAGACGGCACAATAGGCCCCAAAGATCGCCCCGAGACGGCCCAAGCAACTCCCCAGAGGGCCCCCTAACGGCCGACGAGGGCCCCAAGACGGCCCAAAACGCCTCTAAGACGGCCCAAGAGGCCCCCAAGACGGCTCCAGGAGAGTGCCCAGACGGGGGACCCGAACGGACATTTCGAGCTCTCAGCCCCGAGAGTCCCCCAAGAGGCCCCGAAGAAGCCCCCAGAGGCCCCAAGAGGCCCCCTAAACTGCCCCAAGACAGCCCAGGAGAGCCCCAAATTGCCCAGGAGGCCTCCAAGAGTGACTCGAGACGGCGCAAGAGGAGCCCGGGACGGCCCAAGACGGCCTCAAGAGAGCGCCAGGCTGTTCCAAGAAAGCCTCTGGTCTCCTCCTTTTCCTCCTCCTCCTCCTCCTCCTCCTCCTCCTCCTCCTCCTCCTCCTCCTCCTCCCTCCTCCTCCTCCTCTGCTCCCCCTCCTCCTGCTCTCCTCTGCCTCCTCCTCCTCCTCCTCCTCCTCCTTCCTCCTCCTCCTCTTGCTTCTCCTCCACACCCTTCTCCCCCTTCCTCCTCCCTCATCCACCTCCTCCAGCCTTCCTCCACCGCCCACTCATCCTCCACCCCCCTGCCCCCCCTCGTTTTCACCTTCGTCGTTCTCAGAGTCGGCGGCACCGGCCGTAAGGCCTTCGCAATACATGCACACAAATCCCAGGATTCCCTATATATTCCCATCTGTTCTGGGTCTTCGTCTTCCCAAACACTTTCCATACTTTCCCATATGTTCTGGGGAATCGACGATTTAATTGTGTCTGTGTTTTTGTTCCCCCTCCTGAGTCTTGCAAGCTGATGGGGTGCCGCTCCACTCCGCAAGGCGGGATGCTGGGAGCCATTCGACACGTTGATGCTCAGGGACTGGGACGTGGTTAGCGTGTCGCGCCGAAGCTTGGTGGGCCAGAAGCGGCGGTGCAACACGCTAGACAGATATGCCTGACCATGCCTCCCTGGTCAAAAAGACAGGAGGACGAAAACACCGATCGTGGGCCCAGGTAAGCCCGCCCAGGTTTGGTGAGGTGGCCGTATTGACACCCGAGCAGCGCTCTTGGGCGATTTGGGGAAATTGTACGGCCCTCCAAATCCCTCCTCGTCCTCGTCTTCGTCTTCCTCCTAAGCCAACATCCCTGCTCCGCCTCCTCCTCCTCCAGCTTTCTGCCTCCTCCATCCGTCATTACTTTCCTGCTTATCCGTTATCCCTCTCACCCACATCCCTCCTGCTCGCGTTGTCGTCCTCCTTCACCTTCTCGTCCCCGTTTCTCCTCCTCCTCCTCCTCCTCCTCCTCCTCCTCCTCCTCCTCCTCCTCTACTCCGTCTCCTTCCCCGCCTCCTGCTGTTTATCCCCCTCTTCCATCCGTCCCTCCTCCTCCCCCTTCTCCTTCTCTGTCTTTCCCTCTTCGCCTTCACGCTCCTCGTCGCCACTCCACTGCCCCTCACGAAGGGCTCACGAATGTAGCAGCAAATCTGCAGCTGGCAACACCCAGGGAGGCGCGGCCCCGTATGGGTCTGCTGCGTAAGACGTCACGCTACTTGACCTGCCAGGTGTTCATGGAAGTGGCTGCAGTTGCGCCGAGCGCAACACCCAGTGAGGCGAGGTCCGTTCGGGTCTGCGGATGACGTCACTCCCCTGGATCTCCCAGGAGCCCACGAGGGCGGCGACGCAGTTCGGCAGCTCACAGCCCCCAGGAGCAAAGGCGCCTAATTAACTTCGCGCTCGGCGCTGCGCGAAGCGCGGGTAACTCGGCGCTCACGCGCCGCCCCCAAGGGGAGAAGAGGAGGACTCGGGGGCGCGCAGACATGGATTAGCGATCCATGGATTTGGCGCGCGGTCGCCAAATCCATGGATCGGGGAGGGGGAGGCCTCCCCAATATGCGGCCGGTGCCGCCCAGTCGGGCGGCGGAATCCGCGATTTCCCACCGAGACGGGACCCGTCGCTAACCCACGCCCCCTTGATCCATGCTTGCGGTCGCCTGAGGAGGATGCGGAGGAATCGGAGCTGAACCGCGCAGCGCGAAAGACTTCGCGCCCGCGAGGGCGCCCTCGAGGAGGCGCGAGGCAGCGGAGACGGGGGGGGGAGACGGCGGGCGGGGGGGGCAGCGGAGGCAGCGACGAGGGGAGGCGGCAGCGACGAGGACGGGCCGCCGGTGCTCCAGTCGAGGCTCGGCGGCGGGCGAGGGGGCCAGGCAAGGAGGAGAAGGCCTGCCCGGGAGGCGGCGGGGGACGGAGACCCCCCGCGCCCCCTGCGAGGTCTTCGGTGCCTCCGGGGGAGGCGCAGACAACTCCTCAGAAGGCCGGGGGGCTTCCGAGCCTCCTGAGAAGGCCCGCCCCTTCTCACTTCCCCCCGGGGCTCGCCACCGGAAACGAGTGCGGTTGGACCTAGGACTGAAACACGAAGAACATCATGGTACCCTCCCCGAACCGACCTCGATCTTATACCTCGGTCCGACCGTACCCAACACGTGAGGATTGGGAAAGAACGAACGTTGTCTTACAAACATATCTATTCTGGCGACGCGCGCTGGACAAGCGCATGTCCGGTAGACCTCCAGCGATGAGGACGCAGGATGGGGACGAACCACCAGTGCTCTATTCAAAACGAATGCGACCGGACCAAGGACAGAATTCGCCGGCCCAACGGGCCAGAGGCGTGCTAAGATCTCCAGTAACAGGTTAACAATATTTCTATTTCGCGCGCGCGGGGCGGCCCCTGGATCAAAAGTACCCCGAGAGGAGCCTGAGAGGGTCCCGGGAGGAGCCCGAGAGGGTCCTGGGAGACTCCCCCGGGGCCCTCAGGATCGCCCCAAGAGGGCCCCGAGAGGCCCCCAACATGGTCCAGTAGAGCCCCGAGACGCCCGAAGATCGCTCCATAACGCCCAAGATGGCCTCCAGACGGCCCAAGAGGCCTCCAGGATGGCCCAAGAAGCCTCTTCGATGCCACAAGAGGCTTCCTAGAGCACTTCCTCGAGCGCTCCAAGAGGCGAAATTCCATGCTTTCTTTCCCTTATGTTTTGGACAGATTTCGGCGTTTCCACCTTTTCGGCTTCCCGGCGCCCCTAGACGGCTCACAAAGTCCCCCAAATCGCCCCAAGAGTGGCCAAGAGGCCCCCAGGAGGGCCCCAAGATGGCCCAAGACGACTTCCAAGAGGGCCCCAAGAGGGCCCAAGAGGGTCCCGAGACGGCCCAAGAGGCGCCCAAGACAACCCAAGACGGCCCCAAGACGGCCCCAAGAGGGGCCCAAGAGGGGGACCACGAACCGAAACCTCGCGCCTTCCGCCCCAAGAGGGCCCCAGGAGGCCCCGAGAGGGCCCCAAGAGGCCCCAAGATGCCGCCAAGAGGCCCCCAAGAGGCCCCAGAAGGCCCCCAGGAGGCCCCCCAGAAGGCTTCAAAAATGCCTCCCAGGCGCCCCCGAACGGCTTCTCAAAAGACCCCAAGAGACCTCCCAAAGAAGCATCTTGACGACGACCCTGTTTGGCCCCAAGAGCAACACAAGATGCCACCGAGAGGCTTCCTCCTCCGCCCCTTCCTCTTCCTCCTCCTCCTCCTCCTCCTCCTCCTCCTCCTCCTCCTACCTATCTGCATCCTCCTCCTCTCCTTCTCATCCTCTCCTCCTCCCCTCCCCTTCCCCATCCTCATCTTCTTCCTCCTCGGCGGCGCCACACTGGCCCCGAGCCCACGGCGAAGCAGTAGCGATCATGCAACATGGGCTGGCTGAATGAGCGAAGCGATTGAATTATCCCAGTGCGACCCTGCCTAGGAGTTGGAGCATCTAGGAAAGCAACATCTACATCTACACCGACAGCTACATTAACATCTACACCTGCATCTACATCTACATCAACATCAGCAACGAGACATGCTATGCTGGACTATGCTACGCTATGCTATGCTATGCGGTGCTCTACTATGCTAAAGCTCAGCGAAGCTAAGATGAAGGCAAGCAAAGCTAAGATAAACCTGAGCTAAGATGAAGCTCAGCTAAGCTAAGATGACATAAGCTAAGCTAAGATGAGATAAGCAACGCTAAGCTAAGGGGACGTAACTGGGGGAACCGCGGGGCGGATCCTGGGGGAACCGCCTGGGGCGATTTGCACTGCCCGGCCCTTTAAGCACACAGAGTAAGAACCCTTCTAGGCAGAGCCTAGGTAGGGAATAACATCATTCAAGAACACGAGGCCCTCTGCCAGACAGACGGAAGAACATTCGAGGGCACCCTCCCCCAGGATGCACGTGAACATCCGACGAATACGAAAATCACTAAGGTACCCTCCCCGACCCGACCTCGATCTATACCTGGGTCCGACCGTACCCAACACATGAGGGTTGGGGAAAACGAACCTTGTCTTGTAATCGTACATATCATGGCGACGCACGCTGGAGAAGCACATGTCCGATAGACCTCCAGCGCTTTTACAACATCGAGCCGTATCTTATTTACTCTCTGGGTCTCTGGGAAACTGGATTCCCCGAATTTGCCATGAGGCGGAAGCAAAACCACACATAAGGAAACTGGTCAAGGATCCTGGGTTAACCCCAGATGCCAGATTGTCATTCCGTCTTTGTGTGGACTGTGCTGAGGCCCGGGGCAGGGCCGTAGGAGGCCTCAGACGGCGACAAACCTCTTGACCCCTTTCCCTGAGGATCCTTTCTTCTGCACGGTGCGCTGTCGTCCGGACGAATGGCTACAAGCAACATGTTGCCATTCCTGGGGCCGTGGAGGAGGAGCGGAACCCCTTTTTGGGCCCCGCTCGAGCCCGGATGCACGAGAAGCGGCAGGGGGGCACCCACGGAAGACCCCACGCAACATCGGGCCCCTTTCGCGCCCAACGTGTACAGCCGACCCGCGTAAGGACGCACGGTGACTAAGGACGCAAGGGCCTTGGAAGGCCATGCCCACACTTTGCGAGCTGGGCGCGGCCAGCGAGATCAGCCAAGGATGGGCCCAAGGGGAAGGATGCCAAGGGAGCCTGAGGAACTGGCTCATCCTCACTGTGCGGGTTCACTGTACCTCCATTCTGAAGGAGCCCTGGGACACACAAATAAACACACACAAATAAGAGGACTCCCCATATTTTCTAATATTTTTTCTCCGTTTTTGTCTTCCCCACCACTTCCGATATTTTCCCATATTTTCTGGGGAATGGAGGATTAATGGTGTCTGTGTGCTTCTTTCCCTCCTGACATTCGCCGAGCGTTCTGACTGCACGCGCCGCCGGCCACCACGGCGAGCGCCAAGAACATCGCCGAGATCCAGGCAGCGGAGACCATGGCGCAGGCGAAGGAGAGCCCTACGCGCTGCGACTCCATGTTGTCCTCTCTTGGGCGCGGATGCATGGGGGACGATTCCATTGGGGGCGGTAGACAGGTGCCCTCTTCGGGCCCTCAAAGCCCCACGATCGGCGATGGACAAACCTCCTTTTTTCGTAAACCTCCCTTTGGTGAACACGGCCTGGGACCGAAACCGACGGACCTGGACCCGCAAAAATGACGGCCGCGAGGCCCTCTCGCGAACCGAAACCAGCCAAGTCGCTAATCGACGTGTCAGGGCAGGAGGCCTATCCACCTCCGACCCCAGAGGGCCCCTTCTCGGCACCCCCCCGCTGCCCCCCAATCTACCGCCCCCCCCCATTGCGCGCCCCCCGACTTTCGGGGCAGGGTATACCCGCGCCAGGACCAGCGGCTGCTCCCTCCCCCGCTCCCCCCCTTGCGCCTTCTGGGGCCTCCCAGCTGGGGTCGGGTCGGAGGATCGCGCCGCATCGCCGCTGCACCGCGGACGCACCGGCGGTGCACCCGCGACGCCGGCGACGCATCGGCGACGTCAGCGTGGAGAGCGTGGGGCTCCACGTCGAGCCGCACCGGCGATGCACGGGCGATGCGGCGCAGTCCTCCGACCCCACCGGCTCCGACCCCGTTCGGGAAGCCTAGACCCGCCCACCCGCTGCTCCTCCCACTCACTGCCCCCCAATCTCGCCCTCCCCCCCCCCGCCCCACAGCCTCCGCCCCCCTTCGTGCCCTCGCGGCTCCTCCTCCTCCTCCTCCTCGCGCCTCCTGCCCCTCGCCCCTCCTCCGTGCCCCTCCTCCCCTTCGTTCGCTCCTCCTCCGCCCCGCTTGCCCCCCCTCCCCCCCCGGGAGCCTCCGAGGGACACCCCGCCTTTGCAGGAGCTTCCCCCCCCTCCCCAACCGCGCCGCCCCGCTTCTACACACCGGCGACCCTTCCTCCCCCGCCTCCTCTTCGGACACCCCAGGTGGGCACGGACAACTCGGTGCGATGCCCAGCAGCACATGCTCTCTGGCACAGACAGCAGCCGCTGTTTGGCGGGCGGTCTTCTGTCTATAGATGTCGTCCGCGGCGACGCCGACAGCGAATCCGAACCCAAATGGACAAGGACTGCTGGCGGTCTCCGGAAAAAAAACACAGTTTCCGTGCCAATTTCGGGCCCTCCGATCCTCCTGCCCCTGCCCCCGCTGCCCTCCGCCGCCGTTCCCCCTGCTGCCCCGGAGCGTCCTGCACGAACTTGCATTGGGCGCCGGCATCCATGAGCTTGAAGCACAAGAAGCCCCAAGCCAGCGTGCTGACCACCAGGTCCGCTGGCCACCCGAGAATCTCACTGGGACGGCATGTCTGGAACCAATGTGCTCCGTTTCCGTTTTGTTCTCGATTGCCCTCGTTCTGTATTGTTTCCGCCTTTGCTGTCAAACGACATCAAAGCAAAAATGATCCACGAAATCGCAAAAACACCGTGCCCTGCTCCCTGGGACGGCTGGCAGGCTCGTTCTGCCAGGGGCGTCGATCCGTTGGGGGCTCTCGCGGAAGACAGCCCCTCCTCCTCCTCCCCCTCCTCCTCCTCCTCCTCTGTCTCTCTCCTCCCTCCTCCTCCTCCTCCTCCTCTCTTCTCCTCCCCCTCCTCCCTCCCTCTCCTCCCCCTCCTCTTCCTCCTCCTCGTCGCCTCGTCCTCCTCCTCCTCCTCTTCCTGCTCCTCCTCCTCCTCCTCCTTCTCGTCGCCTCATCCTGATCTTCTTCTTCCTCCTCCTCCTCCTCCTCTCCTAGAGATCAGGGTGCTGCCTGGTGTACCGCCCTCGAGACAGCATGCGGCAGCGGTGGCCTCGGGACCTCACGTTGCCTGCCTTGCGCTTGCCGTCGCGTCGTGGAAGCCGCCGCCGCCGCCACAACTGCAGCTGCCGTTGCTGCCCCGGGGGGGTGACACCCAAAGGTGTGGAAACCCAGTGGGGCAGCCGGCGTGATTGAGCGCCAGGTCCCTAATGAGGGATGGAAAAAAACGACCCTTCCCTGGATTACAAGTGCGTGGTCTGTAAACTTCCTGGGAACCCCCAAAGCCTGGAGCCGCCAGGACGCGGCACATCACGCAGGGTTTACCCTGCCAGCCCACAGGAGTTTCAGCGCACAGCGCCTCGTAAACCAGGGTAGGGGCGTTTTTTTGCCCTTGACCTAAGGCTCTCGCCAAATGGAGGTCGCTGCTGCTGCAATGGGCAGCGTGAGCCACTGCGGGCGCTGCTGGTGCTTTCACCACTTTGTAACGACTCCGAGGCCTGGATTTAGCCAGATCGACTACATTGGGAATCGATTTCACGGGACCCCAAGAGACAACTGATGCTGATATATGTGTTACTGAACTCCGAAAGTATCCACATTGTCTGCCTCCCGCGGTCCCGGGGTATCGGTTCCCAACGTGGTCGATGTGAATAGCTGTTGGGGTCGGAACGACACTATGAAACACAATTATTCTCATGAACCTTTTATTCACTCCTCTCATCTCCTGCTTCCTGCGCCCTCCTTTTCTCCCTCCCTCCCTTTCGTTCTCGACGTAGCTCTCCGTTTGGGGGCTGGCGGCCCGTCACAGATCGCCTCGATAGTAGAAGTAGACTGTTATGGGCGCGGAGTCGTACCGGGACAGGCCAACGAACGCACCTGCCATGGGTCGGCCAGGGGGGGTCGCGGTCACGCGGAAGGTCAGCAGAGCGCTTCTTCGCCTCCTCTTCCTCCTCCTCCTCATCATCATCATCTTCCTCCTCCTCCTCCACCTCCTCCTCCTCCTCCTCCCAGGCTGAAAAGTCTCTTCCTGCCCCTCCTCCGAAACATCCCTCTCCTCCCCCTGCTTCTCCTCGTTTCCTCATCCTCCCATCCCCTCCTCTCCCTGCCTCCTCCTCCCCTCCCGTTCCTCCTCCGTCCTCCTCCTGCGTCCTCCTGTCGCTCCTCCTCCTGCTCCTCCTCGTCGTCGTCGTCCTCCTCCTCCTCCTCCTCCTCCTCCTCTCCTCCTCCTCCCTTAGCCCTAAACCTATTCCTCCACCTCCTCAACAGGGAAGAGCGTCAGGGGCAGCATCCTTTCAGGCAGACCCGTATCCCCCCGCCCCCTCCCCCTCCCCCCTCCCTCTTCCCCTTTTATTATTATCCTTCTTGTTATTGTTGTTCCTCCTCCTCCTCCTCCTCCTCAAGCTCCACCGCCTCCTCCTCCTCCTCCTCCTCCTCCTCCTCCTCCTCCTCCTCCTCCTCTATCTTCTCCTCCCTTCCTCCTCCTCCTCCTCCTCCTCCTCATCAGCAGCATCAGCATCAGCATCAGCATCAGCATCAGCATCAGCAGCAGGATCAGCATCAGCATCAGCATCAGCATCATCATCGTCAGCATCATCGGCATCGGCATCGGCATCAGCATCATCATCATCAGCGTCAGCATCAGCATCATCATCACCATCACCATCATCCTCATCCTCATCATCCATCAAGCCGCGGCGGCCGAGACTGGAGTTTTTGGGGGCGAGCCGTCGCCCCGAGGCTGAAGGAGGATGCAAAGCCGCCCCCTGCGGCTTTAGGTGCTGGCAAGTTCCGGGTGACGCCGGGTAGGAACACCGCCGCGGCTGCATGATCGAGGCGACACCCAGGAGGCCGAAGATTCAGCAACCATCGTTGACCCCACCAGGCAGAATCGGGTTCACGTCAGGGAGGTGCACGTGCCAAATATCGCGCAGAACGCAATCAGGGTCCCCGACGATGTGGGAAGCTGATCCAGCAGCAGGCCATCCAGGACACCATCGGTCAGCTTCCCAAGTCTGGGATGTAGTGGGTCGTTGAGCAGACGATCGCTCTTATGGCTGTGGGATGGCCACGCCCACGCTTGTCAAAGCAGGACAGGCGGCCTTGAGAATGTGCACATGGAGCTTTGCAGCGTCGATAGTTCTACGTCCTCCTTGCTTCCGAGTGCACCGAAAGGGGGGGCATAAAGGTGGGGTGTATAGCATATCGTGGCCCGAGGCATGATCGCGGACGAAGAGGGGTCAAGCTGTGTTTAGAGGAAAGGCGCGGGATATGAAATCTATGAGATATCATGGCCCCAGCTATCACAATCACGCGCCCCCAATCCGCGCCTCCACTTCGCCGCCCCCGACTCCTCCTACCCCTACTCTTCCCAGCCGGCATACGTGGGACAGAGAGAGGGGCAGACGGGAACGAGAGAAGTAGGTCGAGGAGGGAGGCGAGGGGGGATGAGGAATAATGGGGAGGATGAGGAACAGCAGCGGAATGGAGGGACGAGGAGGGGGAGGCGGAGGAGCAAGAGGAGGGAGGAGGAAACTGATATAGCAGGGGTAGGGGGGGAGGAGCAGCGTCCACAGATGCAGTGGCTCAGGCTGCTGCTCACCCTCCCGTTAAGCCAGTCCTTTGCCCGTGCACAGCCAGAGGGGCCACGCTTACCATGGAGCTCCGCCAACTGTGCCTGCAACGTTGTCCCGCACGGCTGGCAGGTCAAGGATGCGAACAGGGTTATGTTGATCCCATCGTACTCATGAACCGCATCCGAGACATAATTTCGAGCAACCAGAAAAGTATCCTCACAATGTCTCGACATCGCTCGGACGTCCATTCCCCGAACAGTTTTGTCGATGTCGTGCATATTTTTCCGCAAGGTGAACAGCAATTATCCTCGATGGTCCCTGCCAGGAAAGATGCACACGTCCGAGCGATGCCAAGGTGTCTGCCCGACACGCTAGCTAAGTGTCGAACGAATATCGCCTTCCCCAGGCCTGACGCGTGGAAACCCTCCAATGTTGGTACTTCCCTGGTGCTCGAAATCCCGTCTGGTGATCAAGGCTAAAGTAGGTCGGAGCATCCTACAAGCAGCTGATCTCTCTAATACTTGGCACTGCTCTGAAGGCACGGCGTCTGCTCGTCCAACAGCACTCTTGCACTTGCGAGGGTGTGCAGCAACAGAGCGCTCAGAAACAGCGCGGACGGCGCCGCCCCGATTCTCTGGACCCCCACAAGCAACAGACAACGCGACTCAGGCCACCCAGTGACCTCGGGCCTCCTCCTCCTCCTCCTCCTCCTCCTCCTCCCTCCTCTCCCTCCTCTCCCTCCTCCCCCCTCCGTCCTCCTCCGTCCTCCTCCTCCTCCTCCTCATCCTCCTCTGTTCCTCCTCCTCCTTTTGCCGCCATCTTCCTCCTCCGCTCCTGGCGTGCGGGAGGCGCGCGCGGCAAGACTGAGGGTGCCGGAAGCCTATTCGCTTCACTCGCCCCCAGATCACCAAGCACCTTTTTCAGCTCAGATTTTGGAGGCAGGGTAAGGCGAGGAGCGGACATCACAGCGACGGTGCCGCTTGGTGAAACATGTTCGATGGCCCTCAGAAAGCGTGCTGGCTCCGACGTGTGCTCGTCCGCCGGCGCCACAGCCCCTCAACACGACGCAGGCGGTGCAAGGGAAGCCGACACAGGCTGCGTGCTGATCGGTGGAGCTGGCCGAAGTACCCGAGCATTGAATGCACACACGGCCAGAAGATCATCGACATCTGTGAAACGTCTTGGTTCTCGCCCATTCGTGAAACAAAGGGGACGCCAACGATCGGGAGCGCAGCCCTCGGCGCAGACCTCGCCATGGTTCCACCTCACCAGGCATAGCTCCTGTGAGCCAGGTGGCCAGCCTCCAGCCAGCAGCAGGAGGAGGGCTCGCCGTGACGGCAGTTGCAGGTGCTGAGCGCATGGCCATTGATTCTGACCGTGTGGATCGTTGTCATCATCATCATCATCACCCATCATCAACACCACCATTTTCATCACCACCATCACCATCACAATCCACCTCCTGCTCATCATCATCAAAGTCATCATCGTTTCCATCACCATCATCATCATCATCATCATCATCATCATCATCATCACCATCGTCATCATCATCATCATCATCATCATCATCACCATCGTCATCAGCATCATCAACATCATCATTCTGTCCATCATCACCTTCATCATCACCATCCTCTTCCTCATCCTCATCATCATACCAATGATCATCACCAGCATCACCACCATCATCATCACCGTCATCATCATCACCATCATCATCATCATCATCATCAGTATCATCATCTTCACCAGCATCATCATCTTCATCATCATCACCAGTATCCAAATCCTCCCATCATCACCATTGTCATCATCACGATCACAACCACAATGACAATCACCATCAGCATCACCATCACCATCATCATCGTCATCGTCATAGTCATCATCATCATCATCATCATCATCATCGCCATCGTCGCCATCATCATCATCATCATCATCATCGTAATCGTCGTCATCATCATCATCGTCGAGGCCGTCGACGTTGTCGTCATCACCACCACCATCACCATCACCATCATCACAAATGAATCAGGATCATCGTCATTTTCATCCTCATAATCATCGTCAGCGTCATCATCATCACCATCATCATTGTCATCATCATCATCATCATCAGCATGATCATCATCATCATCATGATCATGATCATGATCATGATCATGATCATGATCATGATCATCATCATCATAGGCATCACCATCGTCATGATCATGATCAGCATCATGACCATGATTTTCACCATAAACATCACCATCATTATCGCAATCACGATCCCCATGACCATCACCATGACGATGCTCATTATCGTCGCAATCGTCATCTTCATCTCGTCATCATCAGGATCATTAGTATCGTCACCGTCGTCGCCATCGTCATCATCCTCATCTTCAGCCTCATGATCATCATCCACATCCTCATCATCATCATCACGAGTATCATCATATTCGTCAACTTCATCATGAGTATCATCATCAGGCTGATCATCATCATCGTCGTCATCGTCATCATCATTATCAACATTATCATCATCATCAGCATCGTGGTGATCGTCGTCATCATCATCAGTGTCGTCATCGTCATCGTCATCTTCATCACAATCCTCAGCATCCGCATCCACATCCTCATCCACATTATTTGCACAATCATCAGCATCGACATCACCATCACAATCACCATCACTATTATCATCGTCATCACGATCACCATCACCATCATATCACCATTACCAACACCATCATCATCATCATCATTGCCATCGTGATCACCATCGGAATCAACATTTTCATTATCATCGTCAACGTCAACGTCATCATGATCATCATCACCATTAGCGTCATCATGATCATCAGCATCAGCATCCACGTCATCAGCATCACCATCACCATCCCCATCATCATCCTAATCATGATCCTGATCCTGATCCTCATCCGCATCCCTATCCTCATCAGCCTCATCATCATCATCATCATCATCATCGCCATCGTCATCACCAGTCCCATCATCATCGTCATCGTCTTGATCATCATCACAGTCATCAACATCGGCATCATCATTGTCATCATGATCATCGACATCGTCGTCATCGTCATCGCCATCACGAGCATCATCAGCATCATGATCATCATGATCATCCCTATCCTTATCCTCATCCTCGTGATTACCAGCATCATCCCCATTATCATCCTCATCAAGATCATCGGCATCATCGGCATCGTCGTCATCATGATAATCACCATCGCCATCATCGCCATCACAATTACCATCAACGTCACCATCAACATCACAATCATCATCATCATCATGATCATCATCAGCATCATCATGGTCATCGTCATCACCAGCATCATCATCATCACCATCATCGCAAATATCATCACAATAACCAGCATCGTCATCGCCATCGTCATCATGATCATCGTCATCGTCGTCATCATCACCATCACGAACAGTATCATCACCCTGTCGCCATCATCATCCCCATCGGTATCCTCATGATCATCATCATCCTCATCTTCGCATTGATCAGCACCATCCTCGACACCGTCGTCGTCATGATCATCACCCTCGCCATCGTCATCGCGCTCACCATCACCATCACCATCGCATGCATCATCATCATACTCATCATCAACATCGTCACCGTCATCACCAATACCCTTGTACCATTCCCATCCTCATTATGATCCGCATCATGGTCATCATTATCATCATGCTCATCCCCATTCTCATCATCATCATCATGATCCTCATCATCGTCATAATGGCCGTCGTCATCATGATTATCATCATCGTCATCCTCATCATCATTGACCTTATCCTCGCCACCGGCATCAGCATAACCACCATCATCTTACCATCTTCAATCGCAACCTCATCATTATGATCATCAACAGCATCGACATCGTCAACATCACCATCAGCATCCCTGTCAGCATCGTCATCACGATCACCATCACTGTCACCATCACCATCACCACCACCACCATCATCATCATCATCATCGTCATCGTCATCATCATCATCATCATCATCGTCATCGTGATCATCATCATCATCGTAATCGACAGTATCACCATCTTTACCGTTCTCATCCTCATCCGCATCCTCATCCCCATCCATCTTGATCATCATCATCATCATCGTCACCGTCATCCTCATCATCAACACCATCAACATCACTAGCTCCATCATCATCATGGTGAGCATCATCGTCGTCAGTGTCAGCATCATCATCATCATAAGCATCAACATCATCCTCATCATCATCGTCATTGCTATCGTCATCAGCACCATCCATAGTCATCAGCGTCAGCATCATCGTCATCCTTATCCTCACCATCATCATCGCAATATCATCGACTCCGTCGACATCATCATCAGCGACGCCATCGACGTCATCACGATCACCATCACCATCACCATCATGGTCAACATCATCGAAATCATCATCATCATCATCATCACCATGAGCATCCTTATCATCATCATCAGCGTCATCGTCATCGCCATCGTCATGATCGTCATCATCATCATCGTCATCGTCATCATCATCATCCTCAACATCATCCTCAGCCGCATCATCATCCTCATCATCCTCATTCTCCCAATTATCATCAGAACATCACCATCACCATCGCCATCATCATGATCAATATCATCATCAGCATGATCACCACAATCATCGTCGTTGTCACAGTCATCATCATCCTCATCATCGTCATGATCATCAACATCATCGACATCGTCATCATTACCATCATCGCACGTCATCATTGTCACCAGGATCACATCAAGAGCACAGTCACCACGACCACCATCATCATAATCCGCCGACCCCTTGGGGATCATCGGCGTGTGAGATGCTTCCCCCTCCCCAAACCCCTCCCCCGGGAGCCCGGTCCGGTCGATTTGGAGGGGGGGGGGGGGTCCGGCACGAGCGCAGCACGGCCGGGACGAGCGGTTCACGGGGCTTTTCCGGGCCCAAGAGGGCCTCAAGACGGGCCAAGAAGCCCCCAAGAGGCCTCCAAGACGGCCCACGAAGGCCCCGAGACGCCAAACGACCGCTCCAAGACGCCCAAGATGGCCCCAAGACGGGCCAAGAGGTCTCCAAGACGGCCCCCGAGGTCCCAAACAAGCCTCCCAAGAGGGCCCCAAGAGTCTAAAATTGTTGATTTTCCATAGTGTTTTTCGATGTTTTTTGCTTTTCCGCCTTTTCGGCTTCCCGACGCTCCAAGACGGCCAAAGAGGCCCCAAAGACAGCCCCAAGATGGCCCAAGAGGCCCCCAAGACGGCCTCCAGACGGCCCAAGACGGCCCCAACACGGCCCAAGAGGTCCCCAAGACGGCCCAAGAGGGCTCCAAGACGGCACCAAGAGGGGCCCAAGAGGGCGACCAAACATGTTGAAACTCTAGCTTTCTGCCCCCAGGAGCCCCAGGGGGCCCCAAGAGTGCCCCAAGAGGCCCCCAGAGGCCCTCACGAGGCCGCCCAGACGCCCCAAGGAACCCCCAAGAAGCACCCCAGAGGCTCCGAAACGGCCCCCAAGTGGCTCCAAAACTCGCGGTGTCGCCGTCCGCTCGGACCCCCCCGCGGAACTGCCCGAGACCCTCTGGCGGTGGCGGCGAACAGACACCAAACAAATATCACTCGCCTTTTCACCCCTTCGCAGCTTCTACTACCCCCAGATTGGCATAAACAAGGGGTCGGCGGTGTGGCGTAAGCCTAAGAATCATCATCATCGTCATCTTTATCGGCATCGTCATCATTATCAGCATAATCATCACCATCATCGTCATCGTCATTGTCACCATCATCCCCATCGTCATCACTTGCATCCCCATCCTCATCCTCATCAGCCTCATCATCATCATCATCATCATCATCATCATCATCATCATCAGCGTCGTCGCCGTCACCCTCATCCTCATCATCATCTTGAAGAGCATGATCATCATCATCGTCATCATCATCTTGACCATCAGCATCGCCGTCATCTTCATCGTCATCGTCATCACCATCATCATCATCGTCATCACCATGACCATCATGATCAGTTTCATCTTTGTCGTCATCATCATGCCAACCATCATTATCATCGTCAATACCATCATGATCGTCATCCTTATCATCACCATCATCATGACAATCGGCGTCATCGACACCGTTACCATCATCATCATCATCACCATCATCATCACCATCATCATTAATCATCATAATCATCATCATCGCCATCATCATCATCATCGTCACTATCGTCATCACGATCGCGATCACCGTCACCATCACCATTACCATTAATTACCATCCTCATCATCATCACCATCACCATCACCATCATCATCGTCATCGTCAACGTCATCGTCATCGTCATCACCATCACCGTCATCGTCATCACCGTCATCATGGTCCCATTCGGGGCAGCAGCTCCAGGGGGGAGGGCCACAGCCGCACGCTCCGCTCAGACTCGGGGGCCAGGCCGCCGAGCCGCCGCCGCTGCCCGCGGCGGACCGCTGCGTTGCTGCCGCCGCACCGCCCGCGAGCCGCGAGCTGCAGGCAGCGCTGGCGGCGGCAGCGCCCGGCGGCGGCCCCCGCCTGCTACCTGACGGCCACCTCGGCGTGGGGGATGGAATCGACCACCTCGTCGTCGTCGTGTCGTCGTCGTCGTCGTCGTCGTCGTCGTCGTCGTCGTCGTCGTCGTCGTCGTTATCGTCATCGTCGTCGTCGTCGTCACCTGACGGCCACCTCGGCGCGGGGGGAGGAATCGACCACACGCGAGAGTGGCCCTGGCTAAGAGCGGCTTTGGGTGCGAGGCTTTCTGGGGGTCGCGGGGGGGCCGAACACAAGCGCGCGAGTCGCTGCTCGTGTGCGGCGATCGGCTGAAGGTCACTCTGACGTCTAGTCGAAGGAAGGGTCGGTTAGAAGGCAACTCCTAGAAGGTCTGCGTCAGGCCGGGTTGGAATATGTCGAGCTCGACTGAGGGGTCACTGAGCTAGGCCTGATCGAACCCAGGATGATGCCAGACAGAGCGGGATTGAACCGGATGAAGTGGGGTTTCACAATATCAAACTTGACAAATCCTGATTCGACCAGTTTTCGACCAGCGCCGATTCTGAATCGCACGCAGGAGTTGCACCCGAAGGGTCGGGTGTCGCCAGAGGTGATTCTGGCCCAAAGGTGGGCGACGAAAAGAAGCGGGTCTTGCGCGAACAGAACGACCAGGCGCCGTGGCTCGCGCGGGCCGCAGGCGCGGCACGCCACATTGGAAACGGACGCGCTCATATGCGCGGCCTTACGTGGGAAGCTTGCGCGCGAATGCCGGCGCAGTTGGCCCTGTTTTCTGCAGTGCCGACGTCTCCCCAGCGTTTCGCGCCACTTTGGAGCCCCTGGGGCCCTCTGGGCCTGGTCGGGGGTGCTCTGGAGGCTGCCTGAGCCTCCCAGGGGATCCTGGGCCTGCCTCTGGCCAGGGACATCCGGGGGGCAAGT